TTTAGCTCCTTCAGAAACGGCCCCTGGAAGCTTTCAGTCGTGGTGCATTAAATATAACGTCCCCCGGCCCGCGGCCGTAAATAGCCGTGCAGTTAATGGCCATGACTGTCAGATCTGATGGTGGCAAACAAGGTCAGCGCAGTTGCATATGGAGTCATATTCCTCAAGCAAAATGTTTTAACGTGAACCAAAAGYTTTAATGCTCAAACGTTATAGCTTTCTTCGGCCTCCGTGATGATGTAAAGTCCTACTCGTCTTCCACTCCGAGCCTCTCTGCTGCTCCGTCTCACGCTTCAGCAGCTCAACTTAAAATCACCCTGGTAGATAGATGAACCAACCAGGAGAAGGAGCTTTGGAGTTTCTCGCTCCAGACTTCGACACACGGCTTCCTCTGGTGATTTGTGGCTGCAGATCGGGGGGTAATTTTCCATCCTGGTGAGACCGGATGGATGTTTCAGCTCTGCAGACTGAGCTGAAGCTCTTTCTTGAACCTTCCTGCTTTTTAGGGAATTGGTTTCACGCTCCATAATGGACTATTACGGCACATTTTCAGAAAATAATCTTTGCCTGTGTATTTCCGCTAATGAAATCTGATTGTTCTCTTTGAAAAGTTGTTTTAGAATATCGTGGAAGTGGGAGAAAAAGGAAAGTATCTCTTTGTGGCATTCTGTGGAAGATTAAAGATCAGATGTGTTTGTGATCAAAGATGGGTGATGTAACAACGTACAGCTGGTGAAATGTGATAGGCTTTTCAAAAACTCCAAATGGTCACCTGCTTTTCAACCTCACCCCCCTTCCTGCACCACAACTGTTTGATCTCATCTTCATGATTTGAAGCCTCCGCTGGCTCTTTCGGGACGTTTGATATTTGAGTTCAATGCTTTTCTGGCAGTTTTTCGGGTGGGGGGTTGGAGGGATCACCATCACCACACGCCTCATCCGATCTTATCGCCATCATATAGCTTCAAAGAGTTTGCAAAACACCAACTTCCTCAGAAATCTGAAAGTTTTTCTCTGGTGTTGTCTGTTAGATTAGCAGCGTAAAAAAATAGAGAAAAATGAAAAATCTTCGACTGTTCGAATCCATCATTGCCCTCCGGCTCCGATACTTTTCCCACCATCACCATTGATCTAAACTTTTGCTCTGCCGATAGTTTCTCCTCTGTGAGACCTTTTCCTCCTCCATCTTTTATCCATTATTCATCGCTCTGAGCTCTTTTTCTCTTTCTGCCAGGCCATAATACCCATTACCTTCACATTCTGCTGTGGATGAAACAATGACGCCATATATATATATATATATATATATATACACATATATATATATATATATACACATATATATATACACATATATATATACTCACCGGCCACTTTATTAGGTACACCACGCTAGTAAGGGGTTGGACCCCCTTTTTCCTTCAGAACTGCCTCAATTCTTCGTGGCATAGATTCAACAAGGTGCTGGAAGCATTCCTCAGAGATTTTGGTCCATATTGACATGATGGCATCACACAGTTGCCGCAGATTTGTCGGCTGCACATCCATGATGCGAATCTCCCRTTCCACCACATCCCAAAGATGCTCTATTGGATTGAGATCTGGTGACTGTGGAGGCCATTTGAGTACAGTGAACTCATTGTCATGTTCAAGAAACCAGTCTGAGATGATTCCAGCTTTATGACATGGCGCATTTTCCTGCTGAAAGTAGCCATCAGATGTTGGGTACATTGTGGTCATAAAGGGATGGACATGGTCAGCAACAAKACTCAGGTAGGCTGTGGCGTTGCAACGATGCTCAATTGGTACCAAGGGGCCCAAAGAGTGCCAAGAAAAGATTCCCCRCACCATGACACCACCACCACCAGCCTGAACCGTTGATACAAGGCAGGATGGATCCATGCTTTCATGTTGTTGATGCCAAATTCTGACCCTACCATCCGAATGTTGCAGCAGAAATCGAGACTCATCAGACCAGGCAACGATTTTCCAATCTTCTCTTGTCCAGTTTCGATGAGCTTGTGCAAATTGTAGCCTCAGTTTCCTGTTCTTAGCTGAAAGGAGTGGCACCCGGTGTGGTCTTCTGCTGCTGAAGCCCATCTGCCTCAAAGTTCGACATGTTGTGTTTTCAGAGATGCTCTTCTGCCTACCTCGGTTGTAACGGGTGGTTGAGTCACTGTTGCCTTTCTATCAGCTCGAACCAGTCTGCCCATTCTCCTCTGACCTCTGGCATCAACAAGGCATTTCCGCCCACAGGACTGCCGCTCACTGGATGTTTTTTCTTTTTCGGACCATTCTCTGTAAACCCTAGAGATGGTTGTGCGTGAAAATCCCAGTAGATCAGCAGTTTCTAAAATACTCAGACCAGCCCTTCTGGCACCAACAACCATGCCACGTTCAAAGGCACTCAAATCACCTTTCTTCCCCATACTGATGCTCGGTTTGAACTGCAGGAGATTATCTTGACCATGTCTACATGCCTAAATGCACTGAGTTGCCGTCATGTGATTGGCTGATTAGAAATTAAGTGTTAACGAGCAGCTGGACAGGTGTACCTAATAAAATGGCCGGTGAGTGTGTATATATATATATATTTATTTATTTATTTATTTATTTATTTATTTGTAGAGAAAAGGAGAAGCAGATAATGCAAAGTGAACAAAGTCCCTTAATCCTCGAACAAAACAAATTGACGTCCATTCTGGTTTTTTGAGTGTTTATGCGTGTCTGTTGCTGCCAGTTTGCAATAAAAACAAAGTTTATCTTAAGTAATTATTTCCATTACTGACTCTCTTATTAAAAAAAAACAAATTTTATAAAAGCTGAGCTGGTCTTTCTCAAACCGCCGCGTCACATAAGAGGTGAAATCGTGTGTTTCAAAGATCAGAAATTAAGTGTTAATCTTTTTTAATCTCTGCAAATTGACTGTATTCTGGAGAAGYGGTATTTCACAGACGTCCTCGTGAAGAGAAGAGACGTTGCTGTGAATCATTAGTCCTGAATCTGAGATGTTAGGATTAGATTTAACTCTTTCTTCAGAGTCGCTCTGCTGCTTTGAGCCCATCGTCTCGCAGCAGGAGGCCTCGCTTCTCCCTCGTCAGATATTATTAAAGTTACTCCAAGTAAAATACACTTTTATAAACCCCTATTTGTCCCAAATGAGTTTTTAGTTAAAGGACGTCTTAAATTTTTGCATCTTTAGATCGTGAAATGCAYCCTCAGCCTTAGAATGCATTTTTTATGATTATTTTTTAAACTGGTTTTAATGTTTTATAAGAAAGTAGATGGGGAAAATGAGATGATGTGCAGGAAAAGTTAACTAGCTGGGCCTCAAACTAAAACCTGGCAGAGTCAAGGGCCACTTGAAAAAATTTTGTGACCATGGCAAATTTATAGACGGAAATAGAAATCTAGTTAATTTGAGATTGATACATTTAGTTAATTTGGGGAAAAATAGTTTTAACATAAATACAATTACTACAGATTTGCCACAAGACTTAAACACAGCAATGGTACAATTGCAAAGAAAAAAATGTTTAAAAGCCACAATTTGTTACTTTTACTTTGTTGTGGGCACAGTTCTGCTAATCCACTAATAACAGAACTAGCTTCTCATTTAGCAGATTACTTTTATTGGCCAACCTTGCAACCGTTAGCGGACTGATTAGCCTCCACTAGGTTCCACTAATTTTAAATCCACTAAGCAATTCACAATGTAAAACTTCTATTTTTTTGCCGATTATCCCAAATGAAATTAAAACTATCCCCGTTTACAAGCAGTGCTGGACGTATCCGGCATCGTGTGTGTAGCATGTAGCATCTTTAGCAGCTAATCTTCAAACTAAGACCATGAAAAAGAAATAAAATAACATTTAACAAACATAAAACATATAACAAATACAAAAACTCACTATGTATAAAATATGGTCGAGAAAGTGTTTGCTATTTATGTTTGACTAAACAGTACTTATAAAAATACAAACCCCATCAAATAMATGCTTTTATTCTGAAAGGGTTAAACTAGAAGTAGAATTTAGACACTTATAACTCTGGTTTGGATTGGCTGATTTGCCACAGATGATCCCGCCCACCTTCAAATTAAACCAATAGCAAACTAACRACAGGTTTTTGTCTCAGCGCGTTAGCTTCTGCTAAATTTATAATCTGCTTAGTGTTAGTGGATCTAAGATTATTGTTTAGTGGATTATTGTTTTGTGAATTTAATCATTTTAAACTGTGCCCACCACTGCTTTTATTCATCTGACTTTAGCAACCAAAGAAATTATTTCAGTTTGGACAGAAATTAAGATTATTCCATTAAGATTTTCAATCTTTATACACCATTAACCAGTCAAGCAATCTCAAAAAAACTTAAAATGTCAACAGTTTGACCCAAAATGCTGGTGTTTGATTGATTGATTTAAAATAAATGGGCCAAACGGAGGCAAATACAAATTTATAATTMATCATATTCCAAACTGATTGACTAGAAGGCAGCTGACATTTCACCTTTCATTTAAAACGATTCATTTCTGATAGTGGGTTTAGAGTTTCAGGTTAAACTCCACAAAAAAATCAGCGTTGCTTTAAACAAAATCTAAAAAATATAGCTGAAGAAGCACACACCTGCTCTGCTGGATTGATGATTTCTGCATTTTGTCTAATGTTCAGATTTCTTATTGGATAAAACGTCAAGACTTGTTTCTAGTTTTGCAGAACCCAGAATGTTGTTGACAGAATGATTAAACAATTGAATGATAATGTTTCACTTCATTGATTCTTTATCTAAATGATAAAATGATTTTTTGTTACCGTGTTTATTTCAGCCCTTTTTTTTCCAGAGCCTCGGTTCTTTTCAGCTGACTTTGCACCTTTWGTACTTTTAGATTACTTTCAGCTGCCTCTCCCTTGTTTTTCTGTGCAAACTGATCAATAAATTATTGGAAACGTGAACCTCAGATCCATCAACTGGTGCTCGATGACTTCTTTGTCTCCGCAGAAGAAGCCACTGATCGCCACCAGCCTGGTCGTGGCCGTGTCTCTCTTCGTGGTTGTGGTGAACTACGCGGAGATGCCTCACTTCCTCCTGCAGCCCGTGTTCGGTGAGACGTTCAGCAGCCACTGGATGTTCTCCAAGCAGCCCTACAAGGCCTTCAAACCTCACCTGGGCTACGTCAGCGTCCCCAAACAGGAGGTAGGGTCGGACGTTCCACAGCATGGACGAACATTTCAACAGAAAATCTACAATATAATTGTTGAGTAGCTACAGACAGGGTGAGATGTTGAACTAAGTGTTTTAAATCAGCCACTCACGGACTTACATCCATGTTTTATTCACAGCTTCTGTAGAAAATACACATAAAAATGACTTGAATTAGTGATAACAGCAATATGTAGAGAATATTTTAATTTGGCCACAATATAACAACGCATTAAACTTGCTCGGAGCATTTCTTTGATTTATTTTTTTCTTTACAAATGTTTGTCAGAAAAATATTTGTAATCATTATAATTACCTGCAACACATTTGGAGGCGAAATGAAACAGACTAAAGGCTGAGTGATGTCTGCGCATCAATTACAACAGAGCTGAAGTGGGATTATTGAAGCTTTGGCTTTTATGTCTCAAACAGTAACAGGATATTTTTTGGATAATTTTCAGTTTGAAGATGAAAACAAAAACATCTTAGACCTTTTTTTTACATTGTGTCTCATTTCCTGCACTGTAAACAAAAAAACATTTTTTTATTTTAGAGGGTATTTATATTTGTAAAGCATCTTCCAACATTAACACATAACCAGTTCTATGCATCAGATCTAAAATATGTTTGATGTTTTTTTTCATGAACATTTTGTTTTTTTGTAAAACCAAACCAAATTGTGATGCTCCTGCCTTCAAACAGCTCTGTAAATAGGACAATTTATGTAAATTGAAATATCAAAGCTTTCTAAACATGGAAGAATGAGCCTTTATGTTTGGTGTTGTTTAGTTGGGAGACACATACAGACAGATAAATTTGTTGGTGCCCTTCCAGAATAATAATAATAAATAAAAACAACTCCTGTGATCTGCCTAAAAGCTCCAGTTTAGTCTCATCAGTCAAAGAAGCGTTGGTGTTTGTGAACATACATTTTGGTAAATTTCTGTCTGGATTTTTTTGTGTTTTTCTGTCAGTATTGAAACCCTCCTGGGTCCAATATGATTCAAACTGTGGTGGATGGTGTGTTCTTGGAATTCAGCCTGCGTGGATTTGAATGGCATCTTTGGCTTTTTCAGATCAGCCATATTAACCTGGGGTTGCATTTCCTATTGCATCCACATCCCGACAGGTTCCGTGAACCTTGTACTTTAAAACAAAAATAGCAGCTGCGGTCAGAGGAGCACAAACATGCATGGAGRTGGTTTTGTAGCCTTTTCTCTTTAGCGTTGATATCTTTTATTTGAGMTCATCAGACTTCTCTCACCTTCACTTTTACTGACCCCAAACGACCCAGGGACATATTTGTCTCCTTTAAATCTGCTCAGTTGTTGATAAAAAAAACTTGAAGGCCAAACAGTTTAAAAAATGACTATAACACAAGAGTACCAAGTGTATTAGTGATTTATTATATTTTTAGCATATTTGCACGTGACGTCATGCTCTTCAGAAGGTGGCCCACTCCACCATGACGAACGTCAAAACAACCTATGCACATTAAAACTCCTGTACAGCTATTCAAAAAACAGACAGCTGGTAGCCTAGTTGTGAAGGGTCAATATTTGTAAAATAAACAATGATTACTCTATCACAGTAGCTTTTTAGCTTCCAGCCTACAAAATAACAGTTGCAAAGCTTGTGACCCAATATATCACTGGTTTACACATGGTAATTTTGCTAATAACTTTGTTAAACATGGACTTACTAACAAAATAAACAATCCTAATAATGATGAAACTACTATTATGATTTTTTTTTTTTTTTTACATTTTTGTGGCAAAAATTATGGCGAAAATATTCCATTAACAATTTTTTTGTATTTAAATTGATGTCTGGAAATCATCTGGGGACATTCACTTGATGTTTCCGCCCTCATCTTTGGGAACTACTGCTCTATAGTAAAACCATGCATGTGTATACAAGCCATTTACMTTTTAACAATCACTTTTCATGGGAAATCAAACATTTTTTTCAATAAGCTGTAAGGTTACCAACAAACTTATCCACGTCTGTCAGTAAATCCTACATTTTACAGGCAGAGATGAATGGGTTTTCATACCTCCTGCTCTTAGTTTAGAGATGCCTTAAATTCAAAAGGCTGATATTGGCAGATTAATGCACAGTGTCGTCTTGTGCCTCCAGAGGCAACGAGGGCCCAGAGGCAATCATGCATTACACCAATCTCTCATTTGCACCTCCGTCTGCCTTCAAACAAGCCTGCTTAAGTCGCCGCCCTCTCTCTGTGAAGATTTATGCAAGTCGATGGGAAAGACATGCAGCTCCCGCAGAAAGACACCGTTTTATTTGTTTCAGATTCTTTTGTTCTTTAAGTCAAACCAGAAAAAGGCGCTGACTGACTTGAACACAAGTATCACAAGTTTGCTGGATGCTCCTGAAATTTTCTATAAACCGATGGTCTGCCATTCAACAACGCCTCGAGATGCTGAAATATTTCTCCTGATCTTACCTGATCCATGCTGAGGTGTGGATAAGATTTATACAGAAACCTGCAGCTTTTGAGTCTTCCTCTAAGTGTGATATTTTGTTTTCCTCTGCTTTGAAGAGAAATAATGAACATTATTCTTGTAGCAGTTCATGCCTCTGGTTCACCACTTTTATTTGGAGATGGAAAATTTGCATCCAGACACTTAAAAAAAACATGGTTCAAATCAAATAAGTAAGATTTCTTTTTGTTCTGGATTGAGCTGTACTAACTTTCAATTCTGTGAAGATGACCCCTTGTTTCTGTGTATTTGTAATGCTATCAAAACATCTCGTGAACCAGTGTGGATTTTAATTAAGCTCTCAAAATACAACTGATTCACTTTTAGAGTAAGCCTAATTCAAGATGGCTGCCTTAACAACAATTAAAATGTCTAACTCATTCAGTTTTAAAGATAACGAGTTAAAACTTAATGGGTAGTAGGCATGAGTCATAAAATCATGCAGTTAGTCAGTTTTGCTAATTTGCTAATATTGAAACTAGCTTCTCATTTAGCGGATTAGCTTTTTTGCTAACTTTGGAAACTGTTAATGGATCAATTAGCTTAAATTGGGTTCTGCTAATTTTAAGTCCACTAAAAAATTCTCAAGTGCAAAAATTTTATTTTTATGGCATTAATCCCAAATTGAATAAAAACTACCGTCTTACAAGCAATGCTGGTGTCAGACATCGCGTGTGTGGCATGTAGCTAAACTTCAAACTAAGAACATCAAAAAGAGATAAAATAACATTTAACAATATTTAAATAACAAATACAAAAATTGACTATATATAAAGTAGATATTTATAAAAAAAAACTTGATCTAGAAATGCTTTTATTCTGAAAGACAAACTGGAAGTATCACAAGTTATGGTGCGTTCACACCAAACGCGATTTCAGCATCAGGAGCATCAGGTTTACATACAAAGTCTATGGTGGACGCGTATGGAGGTAAAT